TGTAAGGTTTCCCGAATGGGTCACCGTCTACAGCGGAGATGAGCTCCTTCCAACATTTTTTTTTGCTCTGAAGGATAGCTATTTTGAGCTGCCTCTTGGCTTCACGGAACTCGTCGTTGGTCCTGGTGAGCTCTGATTCTGCTCGGACGTTGTCGAAATCAGCCGAAAGACGTATGCGAAGCCGGGCAATGCGGGCCACCATTCTGACCTTGCAACGTTTTGCCCTGACGCACTCCGCGCGGAGCGAATTGATTTCCCCGTTCCACCAGTGCACGGGAGGCTTCCCTGATCTTGGAGCTCGCCGTGGAGGTAGGGCGTAGTTGCATGCGGCCGTTACTCTTGAGCGCAAGGTTACGGCTTCCGAATCGGCGTCGAGTCCGTCCTGGACGATGCCTTGGTCAAGCCACTCGGCAAGCAGCAGGCCACAGTGGAATGAGTCGCTGTCTATTCCGTCAGAGGTGTCCCATCCACAGAAGGTATTGGAGGCAGCAGGGGAAGGGCTTTCACTGTTTCGCGCTAGGGAGTAGCGGATATAGTGGTGGTCACTATAATTGAACACCGACTCCAGCACCCTCCAGTTATTTGCTCGGCTTGCCAGGGACTCCGATGCGAAGGTAACATCGACAATTGATCCTGCGCCTCTGGGGAAGGTGGGGGTGGAGCCTTCGTTCAAGGTAACGAGGTTGAGGGACTCGACCAACGAACTCAATTCGTGGCCTCTCCGGTTCTCGACCCAGTCGCCCCACGCAGCAGATCTCGCGTTGAGGTCCCCGGTGACGAGGACGGGGACTTCCTGTTGTACGGTCCTGATGCTGTCCTCGAGACGGCGGAGAAGGTCCTGGAAGTCTTCGAGGGGTCTGTTGGGCGACGCGTAGCAGCTGTACACTTGGACGCCGTTAAGCCGAACTGCGACGAACTCGGGGTCGCTGATGACATTGGCCACCGTTACTCCCGTGTTCGCAACATAGATGGCCGCCTTCCGTTGTCCGGCGCTCACGTGCCAGGCGCTGGATGGGGGATCCACATTGTAGGGGTCGCTGAGCAGGGCAACGTCGACTCTTTCTTCAACCATGAATTGCGCGACGAGGTCTTGTGCCACGCGACAATGGTTGAGGTTGACTTGCACGAAGTTGAGTCCCATCACACCGCACTACTTGCTTCTGCAAGCGTCCCACAACTTGAGGTTGAGGGTTGCGGCTGCGGCTTCTGCTGCGCCTGCTTCTGTAGGGCGCAGTCCTTCACCAGGTGGTCATCTTTGTTGCATCTGTGGCAGCGGCGGGGCTTGACCTCGCCCTGGCACTCGGCAGCCAGGTGTCCTTTTCCTTGGCAGCGGAAGCAGGTTGGTTGGTTGTTAGTCAACAGCTTGACCCTGCACCTGGTCCACTCCACGGTGACCGTTTTCCTCTCCGCCAGCGTGATGGCGTCCTTGAGCGGCAAGTGGAGGCTCGCGACGAACTCCCCTCTACCACCGGAGTTCTTGCGGATAATCACGTTCTCAGAGGTGACTCCAGTGACTCCCGCCTGAGTGACGCCGGCAATGACGTTCTCTGCCTCTGCCCATTCCGGAATTCCCAGAAGTAGGACGGGCGTACGGGGCTCGGGTAACCTGACCCTGGCCGCATCTCCTACCACCTCCCGGATCTTCCCAGCTAGCAGTGTGGCTTTTTCGTTCCCCTCAACCTCAAGGAGAATTCCTCCCGCTCTGGTCTTTCTTGTCGTCAGGACCTTGACGCCAAGGGACTGGAGGTTGATTGACCTCGATACTTTTTTCATCACGGAGGCTAGGGAGCCTCCTTCTGCCGGGCGGTCGATAGTCACCGCCATGGATCGCGGAGCCCGCTTCCGCAGGAGAGCCACTTGGTCGGTGGTAGGGCGCGGTTGTTGGGCCGGCTTCGGTGGCTTCCTCTTTCTAACGGCCTCGCTCCAGGTCTGCTGCTGCTGCTGGGGTTCCTGCTGCGGTTCCTGCGCTTGCTCATGCTGTTGCCGACCCTGCTCCTGCACCTCTTCAGGTGCCTGTTGCTCTCGCTGCTGTTGCTGTTTAGGCGACTTTTGTTGCTGCTGTTGCTGCTTCGGCGACTTTGGTTGCTGCTGCCGCTGCTTTTTTGCAGTGGCTGCGGTTGGTTGTTCTTGCTGTTGCTGCCGGCCGCGCTCCTGCTGCTTGGTGTTCGACCGTTTCTCTAGGTGCAGCTGGTTCCGCTCTGCCGCTAGCTGGTCGATTGATCCCTGCTGCGACGTCAACTGCTCCTGGATTCTTTCCAGCATTGCCATGAGGGGACCGTCTGGCTTCTCGGGATTCGTCGGCGTTGGCGTTTGTGTGGCCGCGCATTTCCCAGCGTCCTTCACTTCTGGCTTCTGGGTGTTCTGCCCCTTGTCACCAGTTCCCTGCTTTTTCACTTTTATATACTGCGTTAGGAGCATACGCAGTTTTGGGAGAGTATCCTTGATCTCCCTGTGTACATTGCGCGTGGCCAACGCAAATTTTTCCATGCTTGCAACGTAGTGGAGGGTTTTGTCTAACAACTCAGCTTCGCTGAGGGTGGTGATGTCGATTATCTTCACGACGGGCGACGCTTCAGCCCCCACGTACGTCTCAGCAGTTCCTTTGGTGCATCCGTGTCCTTCTTTATCCTCTTGTCCGTTTTCCAGTTTTCCAGTCTTGTTTCCAGTTATGGACGGGCCCCCCCCTGAATCCGTGGGGCCCTTGGTCAGGGGTAAATTTCCAGAATTTTGATCCATGTGCGATTTTTGTGGTGAATTCTAACCAGCGTTTTAACCCTACCGCCAGGGGGGAAATTTACAGTTGCCTTCTGGGGGATTTACAGTTACCATCTGAGTCCGTTTGCCGTAGGTAGCAGGTGGACTGGTCCTGCCAGCCCCAACGTGTTGGGTCTGGGCTGGCTCTGGTTTACAGTTTCCTTCTGTGTCCGTTTGCCAATGCTGGCAGGTGGACTAGTCCTGCCGGTGCCGACCAGTAAAGGTCAGGACCGGCGCTGTGGGTGGAACCGCTTAGCACGGACCAAGTAAATGGCCCGTGAGCCCCCCCACCACGGCAAGGTGGGTCCCGTCGGGGGGGCGAGCAGATGAACCTAACCTAACCTAACCTAACCTTTTTTTTTTTTTTTTTTTTATCGGCTGAGCGCCTCTGCTACCCCCGGAACTTTCCGCTGGAATTACTTCGGGGGTAGACAGAGAGCCACCATCGTTTATTTAACACAAAATATAGTACACAAAACGGTAGGTTGAATCCTAGGACAATCCATTAGAAACAACCTTAACATTGAAATACAATAAACGAGAGGCTCTATCCTCTCAAACTTGTCATTCCGACTACAATATAGAGGTCTTAACTAGCTTACATTAAGTTGATATCGGGGTGCACTCTGGTTCACCGTGGCTGGTGTTGGCGCCGCCGTTCATCCCTCTCTCTGGTGACCATGATTCTAGACACCAGCCTAACGATCAGCTTCCACCTTTCTGGGGTTGATGTCATAAGTTGGATCAGGTTGTCCGCTCGGAGTTCCTCCACCTCCAGTTCGCCACACGTCTGGACCCGCCAATTTTCCCACGCATCGCATTGGAATATCGCATGCTCCGGATCGTCGGGAGAGTAGCCACACTGCGCGCATGAGTCGGAATCCAGTAGGTGGAATCTGTGAAGGTAAGATCCGAAACATCCGTGACCAGACAGCACCTGAGTTAGGTGATACGTCACCTGCCCATAATTTCGGGACAGCCACTTGTCCAATCCACCGATCAATCTAACCTAACCTAACCTTTTTTTTTTTATACGGTATCGCAGGGGGCCGGAAATACCTGGTGAGGCAATTCGCCAGCTCCCCTGCATCGTTTATTTAACACAAATACAAAATTATTACAATGTGATTATAATGTACAAAGTGATGGCCCTACACCATCAAAAACAACGGCCTTCGGCCCACAACGATAAGCGACTTAACTAACCGGGGTTTATCTTCGTTGGTGCTCTCTTTCCTCTTCTTCTCTGGCTGCCAAAACGAGGTTGACATAAGAGTCGACGGCTGACCAGTTGTTGGATGATTCCAGCATGCTTCTTACCACTGACTCTGGGGTGAACTTCCTCCGAATGTTCCTCTCGAGATCACTTCTCTGCCGCCACCAGCGGTCGCACATGAAGAACGCGTGCTCCGCGTCATCCACGGGCGCTTGGCAGTCGACGCACATGGGGTCGGCGACCTTTCGGATCCGGTGGAGGTATTGACCAAAGCACCCGTGCCCTGATAGGAATTGGGTGAGGTGGAAGTTGGTCCGACCGTGTCTCCTGTTGCACCAGCTGCGGACGTCTGGGATCAGTCGTCTGGTCCAGCCGCCAGTCTCTCCGGAAGACCATCTCTCCTGCCACTTGTCGAGGGTGACGTTTTTGGTTTCCGCCCCGGTGGTCGCGGCGGTTATAGCCACTCGCCTAGTCACGAACGTTTTCTCCCTTTCCTTGGCGAGAAGGTCCGCCGGAGGGGTCGCTGCGATTGTGTTGACCGCCAACTCGGAGACTGTGCGGTAGCCGTGACCCTCGCCCGTAATTGTTCTGCGCTCGAATCCGCATCGAGGCCAGCGCTGGGGCTAGCTTGGTCGAGCCATTCAGCGAGCAGCAGGCCGGCTAGAAATAAGTCGCTGTCGATGCCTCCGGAGGTGTCCCATCCACCAGGTGTATGGGGGAGAGCAGGTCTTGGTGGTTCAGCAGCGTGGCGATTCAAGGAGAAGCGGATGTAATTGTGGTCGCTGTAGTTGAACACTTCGTCCATCACCCTCCAGTTGTGCACGCGGTGAGACAGGGACTCGGATGCTGCCGAGACATCGACGATGGAACCAGCGCCTCTGGGGAAAGTGGGGGTGGACCCTTCGTTCAGAACGACCAGATTGAGTGACTCGAATAGTGAGCACAGCTCCTCGCCTCTCTGGTTGTCCACCCAGTCACCCCATGCAGCGGATCTCGCGTTGAAGTCCCCGGTGATCAGGGCAGGCACCCCTTATTCGATGGACCTCAGGCTGTCCTCCAATCGGTGGAGAAAGTCGTTGAATTCCTCCAGGCTTCGGTTGGGTGAGGCGTAGCAGCAGTATACCTGCACGCCGTTGAGTCGAGCGGAAATGAATTCGGGATCGCGGACCACGTTGGCGATTGTTACTCCATTGCTCACGATGAAGATAGCCGCCCTGTTTGTGCCTGTGCTGGCGATCCAGGATGTTGAGTGGGCATCGATCCTGTAGGGGTCGCTTATGAGCGCGACGTCAATCTTCTCCTCAACCATGTATTGGGCTAACAGATCTTGAGCCGCACTACAGTGGTTGAGGTTGTTTTGGATGAAGCTTAACTCCATCATTTGGGACTCTCGGAGTTCTCCACCGGCGGTTCAGCCGACGAATCCGTCTCTCCGCGGTTCGACGCTGGAGACTGGGGATCCCTGGTCTTAGCAGGCTGCTTCTGCTGTTGTTTGCGAGTGCAAACACTGACAAGGTGGTCTTCCCCTTGGCACCTGTGACAGCGGCGCGCCTTCGACTCGTTCTGGCACTCGGCAGCAAGATGGCCCTTCTGCTGGCATCTATAGCAGGTGGGTTGGCGTTTGTCCAGCAACTTGACCCTGCATTTCGTCCACCCTACGACGACTGCCTTACTCTCCGCCAACGCGATGGCGTCCTTGAGAGGTAGGCTCAAGCTAGCCACGAGTTCAGCTCAGCCGCCAGTATTCCTCCAGATTTTAACTTCGTCGGCTGCGACGTCAGGAATTCCTGAGCGCGCAAGTACGTCAGCCACCTCATCAGCCTCGGCCCACTCCGGGATGCCAAGTAACAGGACAGGGGTCCGGGGTACCGGGAGCCTAACCCTGGCTGAATCACCGGACACTGCCCGGATCTTATCAGCTAGGAGATCGGCTTTGTCAGCCCCTTCAACTTCGAGTAGGATTCCCCCGGTCCTAGTTTTCCTCGTGGTGAGTACATTGACTCCAAGGGATTTGAGGTCAATTGCTCCGGCTACCTTCTTCATAAGAGTGGCAAGTGAACCTCCATCGCCCGGACTGTCAATAATGACCGCGGCCGTTTTTGGAGCCCTGCGCCTAAGCAAGGCGATTTTATCTGCCGACGAGGGCTGCGCCCTTGGAGCTTGAGGGCGAGGATTCTTCTTGGGGGTTCTTCCAACCACCTGACTCCACGTGGGCTGCTGCTGCGATTGGGGCTGATCCCGTTCTTGCCCCTGCTCCTGCTCCTGATGGTGTTCCTGGTCCTTCTCCAGTTGTACCTGTTGACTTGGTTTCCGTTTTACGGGCAGGGTTGCCTGTTTAGGGTGCTTCTCGGGCTGCTGCTGCTGCTGCCGTTGTTGTGGCATGTCAGCCGGTGGGCGAAGTGTTCGGTCCAGGTCAGAAATTATTTTGTCCAATTTGCGATCTTGACATGCAAGCCGTTCGTCCTGGCTGTTAAACCTATCTTGAGAACCCAGCATATCGTCACCGTGATCTACAACTTGCTGCTTTTGGGTCAGCTCTTCAATTTTCTGCAGTATGCTCTGTTGATGCTGCAGTTGCTCTTCGCGTATTGTGTTGATCAGCTTCGTGGTTTGCGCGTGCTGGGTTTGCTGCTGATGCTGCAAGTTCCGACCACGAAGTTCAGTAGCATCCGGATTTCGGGTCATCCCAATCATTCTTGCATTGTTCTGGAATTCCCTGAAGCATATGCCTAGGGCCCTGATTCCATTTTTGATGTCCAGTTTCGTGTTGGACGCAGCTTGGACTGCTGCTTCCAGTGCTTCCAAATGAGTCTGCGTGTCTCCCAAGAGTTTGGTATACTTCGCTTCAGCTTGTGCGCGCGTTATCGTGTTGTCTCCAGATTTTCCATTGTCCGTGTTCTTTTTCGAGTTTACGGTGATTACCGTTGTGGGAACGATTGATGGCTGCCCCCCCCCCCAGAATCCGTGGGGCCTGTCTCCTCGGAGAGTGGATTCCCTGGCTTAGCCAGTTCACCACCTGGGGTAGAATTTATCTTATGTTGTGAATCCATCTTTCGAACGGCTTGTGATCTGTGGTACGCCACGTCCACAGATGGCCGGTGCCTTGGCGAGGGTTTGCCAGGCCCCCGTTGCGTTCTGTCCGGTCGGTTGAGTCCTGATCTTGCCGCGTCTCGGGAGGTGATCGCCCTCCTGGGAGACTGTTGAGGACAGTTCTAGCCTGGTTTTTCTGTCGGGGATTTCCTTCCCTTAGGGCTTTGCTCGTCCGGGAGCAGGCTACCTCCGACCTTGCCGGCCCCAACTGGTTAAGGTCAGGGCCGGTTCAGAGCCTTTGCGAGTGTGTGCAGGCTGGCTCCGAGCCTGCCGATCCCTACCAGTGAAGGTAAGAACCGGCTCTCTGTGCAATATTTTCATGTGCTCAACAAGCTCGTTGCGCTTTACGCTGGCACGTCTTAGAGCACTCTCGTCCCTCTCGGTAGCCTCGTCTACCAGCGGCATGGCTAATGTAGTCAAGTGGTACGTATAATATGTAGGTTTCCGGTAGCACAACCTGAATTATGATATCGTAAATCGATTAGGAATTACACAATTACGGGTCATGCGCAATCACCTTAATTACGTGTCTTGATTTGTACTATCGCTAATTAGAACATAAATAGATTTAATGATTGCTACCTGTAATGTGGTCCCGACTATACGATTAATCGAAAAATAGGGAGATTGTAAATTCCGCCCGAAATGAACAGGTAAAAACAAGGTCTATGATAAATTCCGCCCGGAAAAATATCCAAGTAAAAAAGGTACATGTAAATTCCGCCTGAAAAAATATAAAGGTACAAAAATGGATTTGAAAAATCCGCCCGGAAAAATAAATATTTTTAAACTAAGCGTTCCGTGACTGTACGGCACGACCGTACTTTTCACAACGCGTCGCGTGTTATAGTGTTGGGAAGTCACAAAATGTTCGAACACGGAACAATTGTATCTCAAACGACAATCTTCAATCATGTCATATCTTATCAGCTTTGACTACAATATTGTGGATCTAATAATTGGAAATTTCAGATAGAAATATTATAAATTGTGTTCAGTACACGTCCTAGAGTCTTATACGCTTATACCTAGTACCTACGCTATAATGGCTCAATTTATCGAATTAGAATGTGGAAATATACTTTTAGTATTAGACAATTTTAAATTTTCTAAAGTAAATGAACTTTGGCTTCTGGATTAACAAAATGGTGATGTATAATCAAAACTTGCAAAGATTTTGTGAAAACCTTTGGTGAAACTACGGACATCGCTGAACAAAATGTTGATCATCATGTTGATAAACATAGTGCAAATAGGCAAGTACAATATTATACATAATATACAACTTAATTAAATAATATTTTAAAAGTATTATTTTTTTAAAACCTGAAATTATAATTGTGTTTTTGATTACTTTGAAGTATTTTTAATGAGTTCTAAGCTAAATGATCATAGATTAACACAATTTTCAGATTATTTATTAAATAATTATATAAATAATTACCCTGTTTTTCCTTCCAATACATGGGCTGCTGCTACAGCAGATTTGAGCAGAATGATCAATGCTTGTGAGTCGTTTCATTCCCATTTTAATAAAAGTTTTAATTCTATTATTCAATATGATTACTCTATTGATAACGTGATATTACAGCAAATAAACCAAGTTGAAGATTTAGGTTTTATTTTTACTCCAACGTTATCGTTTGCACCTCATATTGACTGGATAGTAGGCAAAGCATTGCGATCATTAGGGTTTATAAGGCGACATGCAGGGTCGGTCATGTCTGTAAGATGTTTGTTAATATTATATACTACTCTAGTATAACCAATTATAGAGTATGGATCTGTGGTATGGTCTCCAAGGACCAAATGTGATATTATTCGAATTGAACGTGTTCAGCATCGTTTCTTAAACATGGTTTCTCGATCTATGGGCATTAATCATGAACCCCATGCAGTCTTGTTAAGTATTCGAATACTTGTATTTAAATACTTTTTTTGTATTTTAAATACTTTTCAAATACTTTCGACCCGTGTATTTTTAAATACTTTAAAAATACTTTTTTTTTGTATTTTTATTCGAGAATACTAAATACTTTTATTCTAGTGTTCAACTCAAAATTTCAATAATTACAAATTTTTCTTAATATACTATATTAAATTTTGTTTCTAAAATATGTTTTTTGGTTTTCTAATACCTTCTATTACTGAGTTAATATACAAGTATGAACAATTATTTATCAAAAACCAATTAAAAATCTGTTTGCCATTGGTAGAAGTAATAATAAAAAGTATTGAAAAAAGGTTTGAAAAAATATTAAGTGACCAATTTTTGACAATAGCAGCTATTTCACACCCATACTTTAAAACTGTTTGGATAAAAAACCAAGTTAAAAAAGATTTGGCTATTTCAGATTTTAAAAATACAGTTTTAGATATGTTTAATGCAAATAGAAATGAGTCTACTACTGATAAACCAGTAGTTGACAATAGTGAAGATGAAGCAGAAGATTCTTCTTTTTTTTCATGGTCTAATGTCACTATTGATAAACTTCAAGAAACGTCAACTATCTCGGTGGAAAATGAAGTGTGCCAATATCTGAATAGAAGCCCTACAAAAAAACTGACATCCCTTAATGAATATCCTAATGTGAAAAAAGTTTTTATTAAACATAATACTCCATTGCCTAGCAGTGGTCCTATTGAACGTGTATTTAGTGTTAGTAATGCCATACTAACAAAACGTCGAGGAAAAATGGAAGACAAAACATTTTTTGTAATTTTTTGCAATTTTTTTAAAATATAATTCAAGTATTATGTAATTATTGTAATTCATCATATTTTGTATTATACCAATAAACTGTTCTACTATTATATTATATTATATTATATTCATGTATTTTATGTTTTATTATTCTAATTATATAACATACAATATTATCTACCTCGCTGAAGTTAAACTTATTAGTAATTAAGTAATAAGTAATTAATAATTATCTATTGACTATTATCTTATATCTGCTTGTACTTATTAAAGTATTATTAAGTCATTGAAACGTTTATAAATAAGTTTAAATACCTATATATTTGCATATAGTGTTTAATTATATATATTAATTATTATTTATTAATAAAATTAACATTTCAATATGAAATTCATTGAACTAAAAAAAAGTATTTTTTAAGTATTTTGAATACTTTTAAAAAGTATTTGTATTTATATTCAAATACTTTTAAAAGGAAGTATTTGAATACGTATTTTAAATACTAATGATAACAAGTATTTAAATACGTGTTCTGAATACATTTGAAAAGTATTCTTAACAAGACTGACCCCATGACTATAAACCC